ACAGCCATCGCACAAAGCAAAGCATTTATGATGTAGGCACGCATTGGTCGACGGCTAAAAATAAATTTCTGATTTGTGAGCTCTCTATGGTCAACTTATAAGTTCTTACCTCAGAACGAAGAAGTGTAGTGTGTTCACGATAACGCCAACAGAACATAATGCAATGCATAAATATCGATGAAAATAGGTATAAACACTGAAAATATGCCCAAAATTATTATTGTTCACTTTGCTTTGAGTGGTGAGACATACTTGCTAAAAGCTTGTAAATCCTCGAAGAATTCCCTAGTCGCATTGTCATGCATATCGAATAGCGGTGGATCATCCTGACATTGGAACATATTGAATGTTTTCTGAAAGTTATTGTTTGAAGCATTGGATATCTGTAGGTAGATACGACACGAAATACGAATAGTAGTAGACGAAGATTACTTCAAATGGGAACTACAAGATAAGTTACTTCTTATTATAATCTATTGATCGTTTTCGATTGAATGGTAAATCAATCATTTTTGTCATCGAACGATCATTGAATCAATTCTGACCAGAACCCTTTTGGTTGGGGGTTCCAGTATCCTGGTGGACCCAAACCTAGCGAGTATGCTTAGTTAAACGAAGGAATAATGTTAAGTGTTAAGTTTCTTGCTTGACCAAGCGCTCCGCCCATTTCAAGAAAAAAGCAACGAGCGAGATGAAAAGAAATTCTAGAAATCAAAGCAAACTTATTTTTCCATACCAAGTTCTTGCAAGTGTATAGATCTATCCCCAAATTATAGATTCGTGGGGTATTCCTACGGGTTTACATACATCTGATACGTTTAAGAAATGACGTATAGGAGAATTGAGTGGGCTTTTGTAGCCGATAAGGAGATAATCAAGCAAGAACCGTCAAAACTCTTCGAGTTGTCACCAACAGAGTCGGCAACAATCGGTTGTAACGAAATGCCGAAGACGAAAATTTGGAATTTTGAGAATTAGACATCAGAAGGCAGATTGAAATGCATCGATCTCAAGAAAGGTTTGAAC